AAAACATAGGTTAAGAATCCAAACAGAATCTATACAAATACAAATCACACATTTTTGAGCCAGAAAGACGGGTTTAATGAATCGAGGGGGAAACAATCGACAAATGGATACAATGCAGGATATACCATTTACACCCGCCACAACTCATCAATGGTTGGTTTATATAATACAATAAAAATCAAAACGACGCTGGAGAACAGTAATATAAACATTAAAATTCCTTCATAAAATGCGATTTCCTCCTGCACAATTGGATCCTCAGGAGCATCTTCAAGGGATTGAGTAACATATTCTACTGCATTCTCCCGCTGCGTTGAAACTTCCTGTAAAAACACAAGATAATGACACAAGCCCAACCCTGAGGAACCATCCTACTCATGCACAGGGCCATTCAGTCTATCAGTCAGCGAGGCAGGAGCTATGTAAGGTGTCTATCAATTCACACGCATTATACTGGTAAAAGCTGGGAATACACACGAAGGACAGATCCTGCCCTTTACTGTTACCAGAGGCAGGGACCCGTGAACACCAATCAGCACACAAAAGGACCATTCAGCAGCTCTACAGCCGAAGGGAAAGGACAGGCAGGGCACAAAGGAGAGAAGACTTTGGGGCGGGTCCCGGCTCGGGGAACGCTGGGAAGTACAGGCAATGTCTTCGAAGACAGGCCGAGCGCACAGGGGACAGGATGAGGGATTCCAGGAAGGGCAGCTTGAGCCAAAGGACGAGGTGGGAAACGGCATGAGAAGTCACACGGAAATCCTGAACACACAGAGCGGGAAGGGAACGGGAAGGCCCCACTGGCAAGCTTCGGTAAGAGACAACAGTCGACTCATCCAAAACGAGGAGTGCCGAAAACACAAGACAAAATGGGAGACATCTTAAACCTCACCGAACTTGCACAGGGAACCATCTACATTCAGTCACGTGGCCTAACCAACCGGGGAAAAGTACTGGAGGCAAAGAACTCAGATACAGACACCGCTTTCCGTAGGCGAGCGTGGAAAACTCACGCAAGTGTACTGTGCGCTCGTGGGACCGAAAGCCCAGAATGACTTTAGCAGTTGTGGATTAGAAAATATTAGGCAAGAATGGTGACGGGAAAATGCAAACGTCAGGACGCAGGGGCGACGTGTCCAACCGCTTACGTATTAATGACACTCGACGGTTAGGTAGTAAAAGAAGAAGAAAAACAGAAAAAAGGAGACGGTACCTCCTCGTCAGGGGACTCCGTGTCTTCCTCTTGCCCCGATGTGTCACCTACAGGGTGCAGGCACACAGATGTTAGCGACAACACTGACCACTTTGAATTGTACCCAAACCCGTGAAGTCTAACCCATTCAAGAATCTTTCTGTAAACTAACGTGGCCAAAAGGAAATTCAGAGGACTGAAGAATTTTCTTGAGGGAAAACCAGGTCGTGTTTGCGATGTGTGGGAAGACAGCGGGCAAAACGAAAGCAAGCAGTACTGCAGGTGGTATCTAGACCTACAGTTTTGAGGTACTTTAGGTTCACACGTAGCTTCTTTCTTTCGACAGAGGTCCTGGCGTTGGAGCCCAGGAACTCCTGCGGCCTAAGCAAGTCATCCATCTACCCAACAGCTACCCCCTTCCCTGGCCCCACACTGGCGTTTAAGAAGAGACGGAAGAAAAGTCAACCTCCAGGGATGTACACCAACCTACCGGACTCAACAGGTTGCTCTGCCGCAAGCACAGACGGCAGGG